TTCGGACTAACTGGATAGTACTTTTCGCCTTATCATCTTTTTAACTAATATTTCTTTTTTACTTCTTGGTAGCGCTTTTTCCACGATTTGTAGAATGTGGGTTTCGGCTTGTATAATACTATGCTTCGCGTAAGTCACAGTGCACAGTTTTCTTCTTCCTCGCTTTAAATTCGATTACTTGAGCAGACGACGATAATGTATTACTTTAGGGCATTCCCTAGATGCTATTTAGTGCTTTTTTAGAACTCGGTTCTTTTTTAATCGCTTTTTCAACAATAAAAAATTGATTCTTGTCTATCTGCAGCAAATACTCCTGAAATTGATTTGTGGAAGCCGTTGCAAAACTGGTGAAATTCTCGTTATGCAGCTGTTGCAGAGATCGCAAAGAACCTCCATGTACCGAACAGAAAGAGCCTGATTGTACTGATCGTTCAAGGCCACTTTTCTATCAATTCAGTGGAATTCCTTTGTTAACGAGTAGACGTGAAACAACGACGTTTCGAGATACTTCAGTGCGTTCCGTTATGTGTGGTTGTGATCCACCTGAATAGTAATGATAGCAACAACGACAGTTTCCTTAATCAAGACTTCCTCCTTTCAAAAAGTGAAGATGATAATAATACTTAAGAAATCTTCCACATTAGGAAATTTTACAAGAATCAAAACAACCTCGTACAATATTTGCCCTAGAAAGTGGGTGTATTCAGAACATGGGCTTCCGCTTTCCGCTGTGCAAGATTAACATATACCTTCCAGCTGTAAGCAGAAATATGCGTCTGTAGGTCTGAGTATGATTGAGCAGATTGTATCCCATACTTTTTCTGTTAAAGCTTGCGACAAAAATAACGGGTAATTTAGTGGCCATTTGTTAGGAGCAGTAAATCAGCTCGTCCTCTACCTCGGGAATGATTGGTAAATTATGCGGGAGTGTATCCAATCCTCACAACAGTAGTAATAGCCACAACCAATAAAAATAATAGACCTCATTCCACTGGTTGGCACGCTACACGGTTTCATTAGCCAGATGTAGGACATCGTTACTGAGAACTCAAAGCCATTTTAAACCGCACAAATCTGCAAAGACTATGCTGGTGATTTACATTCGAACAGTAGCCTCCGGTTCCCGTGCTGAAGGACTGATAGTGAAAGTCAGTAAGATTAAATCCCACGACCGACTTTCTATTAACCTCCGCAATGATCAAGTAATTCTTCGTATTTTTGTTGAGCAAACGCGAGGTGTTATTATTCTTTATTCACGAATAAGCTGACGTTTCAGCGGGTTTCGCCTTCCTCAGAGCCTGGAAAGGTCAAGTCGACAGCAATCTATTCGGCCAGACGCCTCCATAATCAAACAAAGAAACTCTAAACCAAGATTTCAATCACGTTGAACACAGCTTTGCACACTCACCGCTTTCTATGAGGTTTCCACTAAGTATGTCATGTAGAGACAAACCGCACAGAAATCAGTATAAGTATATGGAGTATATGGAAGTATAATGCGCCCCTCCCATCAGAATAGCAGTCTTATACACTGCCCTAAATCACGCGTGATAATGAGGCATTCTTTCCTGCGGTTCATTTTTGGATTTCTGGAATTAATCCAGAATGCCTCGAGAGTTTTTCGCGCCTGTGTTCTTGATTCGCGTGCGAGGATCGTGACACATACTTCGAAGTCGTCCCCGTTATGTCTCTGGGTCCTATGCGTGCCTAGCGGGGTATTTGGTCTATTTTTGCCGGCTAGGTGTTCTTTCATGCCGACACAGAGGGGTCTACCCGTTTCGCCAATGTATTCGTCACCACACGTCTTACAGGAGATCAGATAAACCATACCCGAGCTCATGCAATCACCGTCTCTACCACTGGGGCAAATTATGCAATTTTGAGTTGCACATAGACGGTCATATAGGCGGTTACGAACAAGCTGGCGCTTAAGATTACTTGGTGATATTTCAACTACGCTCACCGAATTCTCTGAGCCCGCCCTTCTTAAGCAGCGTTTTATAGCTGTACTTATATCATTTGAGATGAAGGATAGGATAAACGGGACCCTTCTATAGCTAGAGTTGTCGTTTGGAGGCCTACGATTTCCTCTACACCTATCCTGAGCTACAGTTTCGAAGCCATTAAAAATGGCTATTTGCCGTGCCAAGTTCCGGGACTCCTCTCCCTGCTCTCTTCCCGTGCACACGTTGGTTGCTGTTCGAAACATGTTTCTTATAAGCGCCCTTTTCGTGTGAGAGGGGTGAGAGGAGAGGTAATGAACCAAGATGTTTTTACTACTTGGCTTTCGGTACCACTTTGTAATGTAGCCATTTTCTGATAGGTGAATTTGTACGTTCAAAAATGGAAGCTATTTTTCTGCTCAAATGGCTCTTTCTTTTTCTGCGTTTGCTCAACAAAAATACGAAGAATTACTTGATCAATGCCGAGGTTAATAGAAAGTCGGTCATGGGAGTTACTGCAAGATGTACCAGCAAGATACTTCCGACTTGTAAAAGAAGCGCTGCCACTGAGACAAAAGATCGTCCTAGCTCGACAGTCAATACACTTTCTCCGCCGCTGTCTAAAACATCGAGTCGTTCCGAACTTCATCAAACGAAGACGACTACACGACGTATGCTATCTACCAGAGGACAGTCACCAAGTATTGGACGTCGAATTGCGAATACTACGCACCTGTCTACGAAGCCGACAAAACCAGATGTTCGCCAAGTGGAAGAAGTGCGAGACGAAGGAAAACTTTTGCGCTCAATATTTGGAGGACCGCCTCTGGAGGAGAATAGTGGACGGGTCAGTGTTGATTTGCAACTCTGTTAGGTCTAATGTTAAAGTAGCTTTGCGGAGGAAATTTGAAGACCTTTTGAGTAAATCACATAACACAGCTTCAATAGCGCACAAAAATATCGCTAAAGAACATCAAACAGATCACATTAGGATAGGTAATGTGCAAGAAAATTCAAGGCTAACCGTGTTAGGAGGCATAACTCTTCCTGACGGTGCGCGCTCGTTATTAGAATTGGGGCCGAGTTTCTCACCATCTGAACCCATTCCTAAGATAACCTTGCGTAGGGTCGCATGTGGTTTACATTATCTTCAAGATAGACTCCGCAAAAAAGCTAGAGATGAAGCGCTAAATAGGTGCGAACAACACCAAGTGGGGGCCCTACCAATAGCACCATTTCCCCCGACGTTCTTTAGACAACAAGAGCCCAATAATCAAGTTGATCTTAAGTTTCGGATGTTTACGAATGGAACTCTCAAAGTCCTTAATCACTATCGTGCGAAAAGATACAGCTCAAACCTCACTCCAGTGCAAAAACGTGGCATGCGAGAGGTACGAGAGCTGATAAGGTTGAAAGCCATAAGACTATCCGTTAGTGATAAGGGTGGAGAGTTTGTCGTAATTCCTCATCAGTTAGATGTGGAGATAACGAAAAAACATCTTGAAGATGCTTCGCTTTATCGCCCATCGTCTGAGGAAGAATTCAGAAGTAAATACCGAAAATTGAACCACGAATGGGCCAAAATGGCAAGGGCTGCTGGTTTGAAACCATCAGTTATCTCTCAACTTAAAGTTGCCTTACAACATGCCCCGTCTTGTACTTACTTATAAAAACTCATAAGTTAGTATCCAACGATGATCTTGCGTCTAACGATCCATCACTATTTAAGATTAGACCTATAATTAGCTGCGTAGACGGGCCAACGGACAGAATAACATGGTTTTTAACCCTGATATTTAACCAGCTGTTGAAACACATTCCAGCCCATCTTACGAATAGCCAGATGTTTCTGGATCGTCTACGTACTGCGCAGCCCAACAGCGCGTGCGTGATGGAGTCCATCGACGTTACCGCCCTTTATACAAACGTGTCGAATGACTCCGGAATGCAAGCCATATTCGAACTCCTTACACAACACGAAGTAGAAATAAACATGTATGGCTTCAGGATAGAGCACCTGATGGCACTCTTAAAAGAATGCTTGAGGTGCTCAATCTTCAGATGGTCCGGAAAGTACTACGCTCAAATAATAGTTGCTCCTTTGAACAACTAACAACTTGATTCAGATATTGAAGATATGTAAACAAACATCTGGTATTACATTTTCTGTCGCCTACTTCCCAACATTAAGCTACCAGGGTAGTGAGATTAATCAGTTCCGCACCTGCCACAGCATTTAGTGGTTGAGCTGACGACCCAAGACCATTTCATTGTCGGGTGCGGACTTTCTGCTTATTTGAAAATAAGTAACCTTTTCGCAATAAGTAGGAAACTTGAGGAATCTTGTGCAGCACAAGATTATAGGAGAAACTTTGCGCAATTGCTCCATAGGTATGGATGACATGTATGTCTATGTGTTACCATGGTCCATTTTCCGAACGCATTGTTATGGCCATTTGGAAGTATTTAGCAGTTTATGTCGAGTATAATTCGGTATTGCATATATCCGCATATTCCATGCAATAACCATCATAGAAGGAGTGTGTGGCGCAGTGGTCGGAGGCGCTCTGCTACCCACGCGTGGAATCGATCACCGCGCCTATGATCCGCCAGGCGTCCTATCACTCCGGGGTCGGCAAATTGGTAAAAGCCCAGATATGCATTCAATCACCTTCAAACGATGCTTAATGAAGTTGAATCCATGGCGCATCTCACGGGGATTGATCAACGCCGAGAGCTTTTAGATCTTTATTATTTCTACCTTTATTTTTATTATTATGGTTGATGTTACAATCAATAATGTTTGAAAAATCAATCAATCAATCAAGCTCACAGTTTATTTGTCCAATAACATCGCATTTCATACAACCAGAAATGCAATTTCGAATAGCTTAATATATTTTAAACAAATTGAACACAATCATCAACGAGATGCAAAGGCGTTTATTTCATCGTTTGTTCCTATTTACACGTACAGTACGCTCTTAGCTATCCTGTTATGAGCGTAGAGTATAAGGATAGAGCACACACGTTAACAAGTGGCAGTGAAGAAGAGGTTCAGAGCTTGGCATGACTGACCGTAGGACGGCCGATGCAGGAGAAGATCTCGTCGATGAGGTTAGAAGGACTCATGGCGGCGATCCGCGCCAGTGTCAGCGCCGGAGTAATGTCGAACGACGGCGTCCGCTGCAGCACAGCTGTCGCCATGACGATGCATAGCAATGCCGTCAAGCCATACGTGTGCGACTCCTCGAACTGCAGATGACCACCATGAGAACGGTGACACCGGATGGCGTCATTTCTGGACAACACTTTGCCAGCTAATAACAGTATGAGAAATTCAAAGATGAAATGGAATTCATTATTTATCCCGCTATATTTTGTTCACTTTTCACGTCGAAAATATAAAAATAAAGAAATGACAGCTGCTTTGCGTCGTTAACAATTGAATGTCACATCATAAGGGTTATCAACGTTGCTACTGCTAACCATCACGCTGAGAGCACTTCAATAAAATTCGTTTAATCCGGGACTGTTTCTCGTTACTTAACAAGTGTCCAGTAAAATATACGAACGGTGACGTTTGTTGAAGTCTTAGCCGAAATACCTTTACACAGCGTAAAATTTCTTGAAATTCTTCGTTTCAGTTTTAATTCGTCTCAACTGCCTTCAAAAAGACCGTCTTCCACATTATCTCCATGTAACTAATAAAGACGATGTTCAAATTATAAGGATTGCCCTAACAAAGTCTACAATACAACGTTTATGGGGAACCGGAATTCAACTTAGACCACGGAAAAGCTGAGAATACGACGAACGAGAAGGGCCATAGAGGCCTAATGTGCAGCTGGTCACATGGCTTCACCGTATTCGTGACTGCACCAGCTGGTAAGCGCTGAGGCCACATGATGAATCTATTCGAGCTAACAATTGCTCTAATTGAGAACAGATAGAATCCAGACCTCCAAGCAACAGAAGCACGCCGAAGTTAGGTACGTTATTCTAAACAAGCCGCTCTTCATGACAGTTCGTGGTAGGGAGACCTATCTACCTTAAGCATAGTAGTTTGGGAGCTTTGAGCTCTTTTCATGATACTGCAAACGATCACTAGGATAAGAGAACACAGAGCCTATGTCTACGTCAACTGCACAACATCATCCGACTTTGTCGGTGCATGGTAATAAGCAACAATCCTATGAAATACTGCCACGACCGACTTTCTATTAACCTCGGCATTGATCAAGTGATTTTCTTCGTATTTTTGTTGAGCAAACGCGAGGTGTTACTATTCTTTGTTCACGATTAAGCTGACGTTTCGGCGAATTTCGCCTTCTTCAGAGCCTGGAAAGGTCAAGTTGACAGCAACTCACTCGGCCAGACGCCTCCATAACCAAACAAAGAAACCCCAAACCAAGATTTCAATCACTTTGAACACAGCTTTGCACACTCACCGCTTTCTATGAGGTTTCCACTAAGNATGTCACGCAGAGACCAACCGCACAGAAATCACGTGGAAGTATAATGTGCCCCTCACATCAGAAAAGCAGTTTTATATACTGCCCTATATCACGCGTGATAATGAGGCATTCTTCCATGCGGTTCATTTTCGGATTTCTGGAATTAATCCAGTGTGCCTCG